TCAGAGCATTCAGATTTAGGACTCTTTTTACCACTTCTGCTTCCATACACCTATTGTTATATTCTTCTCTTCTGTCCAAACATCTCTATTTACAATCCCATAAACACACACACTTTATTATTTGTTTTCATTTCATATAAATAAACTTCACTAACTATAATGCTCTTAATCCACAAGTGTGTTCTTTTATAATAATCTCCTGTTGTATGCTTGCAAGAACATTAACTCTTTTGTCACCAACATGCTCAAAATGAGATTTGCTGATAATAACAATGCTAGATAAATGTTCATTGTTAAATTCACCAGAACCTCCACATCTCTCTCTCTCAGGTAACAAATTCTCTTTGCTTTTTTCATTACAGTCTTGCAAGTCACCCATTTTGTTTGCTCAGCCAAACGAAATACATTTGAAACAATTTGCTTCAAAGCATAGAAAGATTCAAGAATTTTATTTCAGTGAAAATGTTTTTATGAAATCTTACTTTTGATCTAAATGAACCAAATATGTTGTCCTAAAAATACACTCCAAGCCTGAAACTCTGGGCTTCAATGCCAGACTATTGAATTTAACATTTATCGAGATATTATCAGAGTAGAGAATTTAAAGTAATATCTGCTTGAGAAGCACAGTGCCAATAATAAGAGAATTATTATTCTGAAATTATCAGCAATGTGTATATATCTATATATAATTTCAGATATACTCTATCTGTAAAAAGGACAATAAAAATAGAGACAAAAGGAAAACTTAGCTTCACATTTTGTCCTCTGAAGGACTTTTATAACTAGTGTTTATTTTAAGAGCAAAATTGTTATTCATTTTTCCAAAATTTTGAATTTAAGAACACTCAAATATTTATCTAGACTTTTCAGCTAACCTGATGAATATTTACAAGCATTCTTAAATTTTAAAATTTTGTAAAATCAATAACATTTTTGTTCTTGTATATAAATATAGTTATTATAAAATAAAATCCTTGCATCTATTGCTAGATCAACTGCCAGGAAGGTTGGTTCACTGTGTCATACCAGACAGTTTTTCTCTTTAGAGTCTTATCTTAAATATCTATAAGTCTACCATTCACCCATCTTAGAATAATGCTACCACATATGGCCTGGTGCTCCTCCTATCGATCTAAAGCTCCTTGATAAAATCTATAGAAGAATCAGCTATATTATTGGCCCTGATCTGGTGTTTCGGCTTCAGTCACTTTCCCACTGCTGTAAGGTTACCTCCCTTTATCTTTTCAATAACTAATTTCATGGCAATTATTTTTCCCTATGGTTTCTAGACTCTTTGAATTTAAGCACAGTACTAGACTGGTGAAGAGGTTTCACCAATTTTCAGTTGAGCTGGCTAGATGTAGCCATAATTTCTATGCTAACAGTTTCTTTTCTTGCACTTCTTGACTGTAAAACTCCCTACCAGTTCCATGCTTGCCCAGCCAACTTTAACCTGCAAAAATCTAAATACAAAGTCAATTACTATCTGCTGTGTTCCTGATTACTCTCCTTCTGATCTCACTTAGAAATGATCATGTTTCTAACTCTTCCACATCCAGTAACCCCTTGTATTTGTATCTCTGTGGCTTTACTGCTTTGCTTGGGGTGAGCACAATTTAAAAAAAAAAAAAAATATATATATATATATATATATATATATAATCCTTTTTCAGGTCTTCTCCACAAGCTGAAAAGTTATGGTGTCTCTGGACACTTTTTTGAACTGATCCAGTCTTTGCTATCAAATTGTGAAATGAAAGTAATCATGAATGGCCACTTGTCAATATCTTGTACTAACACCCAATGACATCAGCTCTCAACTTGGTATCTACACTGATGACACAACAATTTATTGCTTCAATAGCAAGTCTTGTCAGTTTGACAAGGTCAAAATGGCAGCTGATGTTCAAAACAATATCAAGTCTATCATCAACTGGTACAAGAGATGGCTTGTTAATTTTAACATCTCCAAAACTAAACTTCTCACAGTTAATCATCTGAGAGACACCTTGTTGCCTTCCTTCAGCATGGCTGATTCTAACCTCCAGGAAAATGATTTGTTGCACCTTCATGAGTTCACATTCTCTGGTAATATGAAGTGAAAAAACTATATTGAATCCATTGCTAGGTCAGCTGCTAAGAAACTTGGTTCACTATATTAGAAAAGACAATTTTTCTCTCCTAAATCTATCTTACATATCTATAAATTTACCATTCTTCCATGCTTAGAATATTGCTGCCATATATTGTCTGGTGCCCCTACTATTTACCTTCAGCTCCTTGATAAGATCCAAATAAGAATCAGCAATATTACTGGTCCTAATCAGGCAGCTCAGCTCCAGTCACTTTCTCACTGGTCTTTTCTATACATACTTTCAAGGTAATTGTTCAGATCAGCTCTTTACAGCTCATCAATTTATAGTTATGCTGACTATATGTAGCCGCAAATTCTATGCTAACAGTTTCTTACTCTGCACTTCTCACTTGTGGAACAATCGCCATCTGCCATTCAGATTACTCTCTTCTCTTTCTGCTCATTATTATTGTTTCTGTTCATAATTCTTCTACACCCTGTAATCCCTTGTTTTAGTAGCAGTACTGCCTTGCTTGGGGAGATACTGATTAAAAATTATATATATATCTCAACAAGAATTTTCCTAAAAGGTTCTTGGAAGTTATGCACTTATAAATGTTTATTAATCACATTCTGTTGCAACAGGTAGTAGGTATGATGTCTACTGATATATATATATATATATATATATATATATATATAGATGAATAACCTATCCCATCTAAATAATCTTGAAATTGTCACAAACACTTCCAAAACCATTATAGATATACTAAGATCTTCAAACAATAATAGCACTAATATTTCTGAAGCAGGCATTTATAAAATAAATTGCCAAAACTGTTCATCCCAATATATTGGAGAAACAAGTAGAAGTTTGAAAAAACGCATTTATGAGCACAAAAGAGACCTCACAAAAAACAACTTAGCTAATGCATTAGTCATACATAGAAATAAATTCAACCATAAATTTGATTTTAAAAATGCTACACTCATAAAAAAAGAAAACTCACTCAGAAGGAAAATTCTGGAGAGTGCCGCCATAGAACAGTACCCAAATATTAATCTACGACTAGGTTATTTGCCCCATTTTACCTTTCTTAATAAAATTACTGCTCTTACAAACAAATATAAACAGATTCATAAAATCAAAAGAAAATGGTTGAATACATCAACACAGATATAATGACAATATTCTCCACACGTGACAAATACTGACGTTATTTTTCAGTTAAAAATATGAAAATAGCATTTCTCTACATTCCAGTTGCTAGGTACATTCTGTTTTTATCTTTCGTATTTTGCTTTGATAAAGTCCACATTGGACGAAACGCGTCAGCAATTACCAGTTTTCCTATTGTCATTTTTATTCATAAATATTGTCTTCTCTACTGGTTAAATCAGAGAAATTTTCATATATATATATATATATATATATATATATATATATATATATATATATATATAATGCATTTCAATGCATTTGTGCTAATTTAATATTTCTGATATATAAGTGCATGCTACATTTTCATGACAATAATATGTATTTAACAAAAAGTATCCCATTAAAACAGAGATGCAAATTCACTATATGCAATAGAAAATTTGTTCAAGGCAGTCTTGAAGAAAAATTCTTCTCTCAACATGCATGGCTAGATTTTTCAGTTTTTCATTTCCACGACAAAAAAAAAAAAAAAATGGAATTTATAAAATAATTGCCATTTATACGCTCAAAAGATAAATAAAATTAGACATTTTTTGTTAATTAACTCTAGAAATTTATTATTCACCAAGAAATATATTAATTTCAGAAAAACAATGCTTTGTAAATTGAGGGGAAAAAGGAGAAAGACTAATTTTATAAAAATTAGGCAACAATTATTTAAAATAAAATATTTCAGATTTTATTAATTTAGTGATATTTTGTGCTTCGGGTAAAGAAGTTAATGAACAAAAGAATGTATTTTCCTTAATTAGTGGGGAAAAAAATTATATATTTACATGCAAAAAAATCATGTAAATACAACAATCATATTATGCAAAAGGGATATCTGAGGTATTTCGTAAAATATATAAGTGAAAGAAAATTATATATACAAGCTCTCAAACCATCACATTGGTGCATAAAGGACACATGCACTAACAAATTGTACTTGGGCATGTGTAAACAAAGATTTTAGATGAGCATAAAAAAGTTATAGATTTTTTTTTAAATTATGAAAAATGTTTGAGGGAACAAGCAATAAAAATAGATAAAAAAATAATCTGAAAGACATAAACAGGTTTTAACAAAGTGAACAGATAAAGCAGAATTGATGAATCTATAGATGACTTATTTTTGTGTGAAATTCTCTTCATTATACATATATATATATATATATATATATATATATATATATTCAATTTTCTATTTTTTCTCACCATTCATTATTCTATTCAGTCTCCATTCTCATTCAATTAAAAAAAAGAAAAATCAAAAAAAATGTCCCATTTGTGCACCACCATTTTTTTTTTATTCTTACAAGACTTTTTTTTTTTTTTTTGCTAGTTCTTGTTAAAAATGCTGTTGTTACTTTTGTTGTGATATTATCATTATTTCTATTCTGTGTTAAGTCTCCAAAGATTGGATGCAATTCAGTAGGATTCTTTCTTGGATTGTGGAGGCAGAAGATGAATACAGGAGAATTGGATGGATACAAAGGGAATCTTAAGTATAAATGTAGACATGTGTCAATTAAAAAAAAAAAAAAGAATTGGAATGAAAAAAGGAAAGAATAAAAAGAAGAAAATGGAAAGATGGAAAAGTAATTGAAGAAATCGTTGATGAAAGAAATATTTATGAGACTATTCTTTTAAAAAGTTATACTGAAATAAAGAAATAACAAGAAATATGAAACTCTGAACAAGAATGAAAAAAATTAAGTCAACTAGTAAGGAAGGAAAAATGATTGAGAAAAGAAATGAAATAAAAAATAGATATGCTAATATGAAAGTATGCCAGATGAAAGAAAGAAAATAAAGAGGGGGAGAAAGGGGGACCGAGGACAGCAAAGAGGGGGAGAAAGGGGGACCGGGGACAGCAAAGGGGGGAGAAAGGGGGGCAAAAGGGGGGGGGAAAGGGGACCGCAAAAGAGGGGGAAAAGGGGACAGCAAAAAGGGGGAAAAGGGGGGAGGGGGAAAGGGGGACAGCAAAAGAGGGGGGGAAAGGGGACAGCAAAAGGGGGAGAAAAGGGGGACAGCAAAGAGGGGACTGGGGACAGCAAAGAGGGGGAGAACGGTGAACGAGGATGAAGAAAAAAGTGTGGGAGAACGAGAAAAAAGTTTGGGAGACCCGAGGTCGAAGAATAAAGTGTGGAGAATGAGGAAAAAGATTAAAAATCAAAAATGAGGATGAACAAGAATAAAGAGGGAAATGGAAAAGAAGAAACTGAAAGAAAAATCTGAAGTCCTCCATTCTTGATACCAACTTTCCATCCAGGGTGCTTTCACTTTTCATTTTGTATTAATATTTTTGTACAGAAGAAACTGAGCTTTCTTTTTTTAAGTGCAATATAAGGTTCTATTTACAATAAAAAAAGAAGAAAATTCATAATCTCACCATCTAATCACATCCAGACAATCTCTTCTGACCAAATGTGCTAAATTTATTCTGTCTCTGTCAAACGAATCTTATGAAATCTTGCAAAATACAAGTATTCGCAAAGAGAAGAATAAAGAGAGATGACTATTCATTCTACTTTGAAAAGATGAAATTCGAATACATCCAAAGGAAGACACAAGTGAATCGGACAGAGACCTAAGAGAGAAAGAGAAAATAAAAGGTGGGGAGAAAGAAAAAGATGAATGAAAATAAAAATGATATTTTAAAGGAGAAATCTATAAGGATATCTATGAAAAGAGAGAGAGAGAGAAATGAATAAAGAGAGAAAATATTTTAACTGTAGAACAAACTTAAATACTATATATATTTGTATATAAGTATATATAAAGACTTCAGGTATAGTGCAACCACACATTTTTTTTGCATGAATTTTAACCCCTACAGAAAAATTTTTAGCTGTGTATAGTGCAACTAGTCACTAAAAATGCATGATTTTAACCGCTTCAAAAAAAAAAAAAAAAAAAATGAACTGTATATTATGACCCCCCTATATTTGCATGAAAAAAAAAAAAAAAAAAAAACTCATCATAAAAGTAAAAAAAAAAAAAAATTCAATCACAAAATCAGTTATAAAAACAGTATCTTACCATAGAGCAATTATGTGGCAGAAAGGAAATGCAGATGGAGCTGCTTATTGCTTTTGATAATGGTACCTACCTGTTTTCATTAAAGAAATGACACTGAGTAAGGTCCCTCACATGGCAAGGCATCCCTTCAAATGCTAAACTTGCAATCATTAATATGTGGAAGTGCTGAAAAGATCTCAGCTTAATCCACTTCAAAAAAATCTGACCAAACATGAAATTTTTCCTTTTGCGGGTGGAGAATGGCATCTTGACCAGTCTAAGAATTTTTCAGTAATCATCATACTGAAATCAATTTAATTCTCACTGGGTGTCTCATACAAGTAGACTTTTGACCTACTAAGCATTTATTTATTTTCTTTTTAAATACACTCTCTCTTCTAGACATATGCAATTATGACTTCTTTTTTGAAAAATAATCAAGATAGGACACCCATTGCCTGTTCTGTGGTTTGGAATTTGAAGTTGTTCTTTACCTAGGCTGGTTGCCACTCATGACAAGAGAGCCCAGTCTACTCTGCTATTTTACCAATAGCTAAGTGAAATAAAGATGGATTTATGCCTTTCCCAGAGGCATTGGTGCTAAAGTGGATGCAACAGACTAACTCAGAATTTAAACTTAGTTTAATGGTTCCACTTTTCATACCAATCACACCACCCACAATTCCTACTTAGCTTACATGCAGTCGCCTCCCTATCTTTTCTAGAAATACTTTCATGGTAACTGCTCCAACGAGCTACTTTCTCTAGTTCCCAGACTGCATGAATTTAAATGTGCTACTAGTTTGGCATCTCAGTCACACCCTTTCACTGTCAAAACAATTAAATGTAGCCGTCTCTTCTATTCCAATAGCTGCATGTCTCGCACCTTCCATCTGGAGAATTCCCTTCCTATTACTTGTTTTCTGGATATCTATAATCTCCAACTATTCAAATGTAATATCAATCAACATCTCCAGATGCCTTGATCTATTCCCTGTCCTTCTCTTCATCCTTTTCTCTATTATGACTCTACTCTCACTCTCTGTAACCCTTTGTGTGCTAGTGGCATCCCACCTTGCTTGGGATGAAATGCTTAGAAAAAAAGAAAAAAAAAAAAAAAAAAAAAGAAAAAAGAAAAAAAAAAAAAAAAAAAAAAAAATAAAAAAAAAAAAAAAAAAAAAAAAAAAAAAAAAAAGAAAAAAAAAAAAAAAAAAAAAAAAAAAAAAAAAAAAAAAAAAAGAAAAAAAAAAAAAAAGAAAAAAAAAAAAAAAAAAAAAAAAAAAAAAAAAAAAAAAAAAAAAAAAAAAAAAAAAAAAAAAAAAAAAAAAAAGAAAAAAAAAAAAAAAAAAAAAGAAAAAAAAAAAAAAAAAAAAAAAAAAAAAAAAAAAAATAAAAAAAGTAATAAAATATATATATATATATATATATATAAATAAATAAAATGAAAAAAAAAAAATGGAAATTGAAGAAAGTTGAAACAAATGCAGACCATTGGTCATAAAAATGTATCCAGCAGGAGGAGGAGGTGACCTGCATCTATATAAACAGATATAGTCAACAAAGCTCTCTGTTTCCATTCTCATCTGCTGGCATCAAAGTAGTATTTTTCCTTTATCAAATGTGAGTATGTGGACTCTCTGAACAGGAAATGGCTTTCTTTTCTACAATCAAGCTTTTGTTATTTTATTCCTATAGATTTTTGAGATATGTTTATGGGCATACATGGGAAAGATAATGGTTAATCTTAGACTTGAACAGGTGAAAATTGTAATGATTGAGAAAGCATCCTCTTGGAAGTTGATTCTGCAAAGCAGCTGTTCCTTTGAGTGGAACTTACATCTCATTGATGTAATGCAAAAGTAATGAGAATAGGATGTCATGGAGAGCCATGATCACCCATGTCTCAAAGTGACATGGCACATGGAATAGAGATGAGAGCACTAAAGGTTGTTTTCATATATAGCAAAGCAGAAAGAGCTCCATCTTCCAGAGTATGCCTCCCCATGACCCACAAGTACAACCTATGAAGCAAAATGTGTGTTTGTAGAGGGAAAATTGAGCAACCCCATGTATACCCAGCATATCTTTAAATCCATTCCATTGTCATTCCTGCAGTAGAAGGTCACCGTGCTGTTTCAGCAAGATAATGTTCATCCACATAATGCTCAAGATTCTCCTATGGAAGATATTTGACAACTTCCTTGGCTGGCACAAACAGATCTCTCTCTAAACATGTATGGGACAACACCTGAATTGGTCAGTTCACTTGGAAACGTTTGCTCCATAGTGTCAACAGGGTTAACAGTGTTTCAGCTCTAATTGGCTCTGGTTGGGCAGCATATACAACTGATTGCCAAGGTACCATTTCATTTTTCTTTATCATCCAATTAGCACTCATTTAAGCTTAGAAAAAGTGCACTCAAGTCAACCAGATTTGGGAAGATCACAAAGGTCAATGAAACTGAAGCGCAATGGAAAAAAAATCACTCTGAGAGAACGGCTTTATTAGAGATAAAACAGGCCATATTTGCAGTTTGCAATTAAACTACTCCCTAACTTGTTTAGACACTGAATATCCTGACACAGTGGGTTTCAGTCTCTCTGGCTTTTAATTGCTTGATTCATCTTCAACAGCTTATAAACTCATTGCAGGTTATTTAAAGCCGGAAAATATTTTTAGATTGTAAGAATTTATTTGGGGGGGGGGAATAATAATGATTTACTGATATAAGACTTATTAACCCATAGCTGGAGGGGAGAAGTGGATTCATACCTTTCCAAAGAGTATTTGTGTGTAAGTGAATATAACAAACCCAACTGAAATTGAAACTTAGCACACCAATTAACAATTCTGAGTCATTATCCATTACACCACCTGCACATCCATGCTTACTTGGTATTCCCAAGTAGTCACCCATCTAGGTACTAACCAGGCTCGATGTTTCTTAATAAATCAGTGATCATATAGGAACTGGTGTTTCACTACAATAATAATGTAACATTCAGGCTTTTGGCTATCTGATCACTTCTGCAAGGCAATGCATACCTTCTTGTTTTGATACGTCTTAACATCTGTGCATACAGGCATATCACCCTTGACATTGTATATTGTCAGATTGAGTTATTTTAAATCCACCCAGTTCATTAATAGTGTCAAGTTCATGCAGAAGTCTTTGAATAACTATTACAGAATGAAATTCAATATCTGAACAATTGTACGCATGCAAAAGTAAAGACCTCTTTTAATGTTCAGAATGATATACAGTGCATTAATTCATTATATTCAGACTATTTTCCTCATCTTTGCTGTTGTTATCACAACATTTCGACTGTTGTGTCTTCCAGCCTTCCTCAGATGACAATCTACAGGAAATTCTGAACTGAACCCTTTATTTAATCTACAGAGATAGACTGTTTCTCATTCTGCTGCTCATGTCTAGGGACATTGTCTAGATCTTATTTTTATTTAGTAATATTCAGTTATTGAACTCACAAACCAGTGCTTTAATCTACTAAGGCATTGTCCTGTAAGACAATTTGCTGTAACGAACATGGAGCTTTAAAACCAGCTGATTAGGTTGCAACTACTACTAGCTACCATGTTTTGACAGCTACTGCTTCAGTTGAAGATTAACTGTCATTTTTCTTTCTTTATTAGTGGCTTCCATATTGTTTTTATTTCTATGCTAGTCCTACTAAAGAGGTTCTCACAGCCTAGCATATGCACTGGAATAACAAAGATGAGGCCAATAGTCAAAATATAAATAGTGTAAATAAGGTGAGAGTACCAGTGATACTCCCATTTAACAATATTTTCACATAATCCTTTGTAGATGGGATGATTTACTAGAATCCAGTTATATTACTATTCGTCAAAGTTTAATCTTCATTAAATAAAAATACTAATTCAGAGTTTTTTTAATGCAAGGAATTATTGGGAGTGAAAGAAAGTGATGAAACTTTAGTGAGGAAAAAAAAGAAAAAGGACAAAAACAGGTTTCAAAAAGTGACAAGATGGTGATTAACACTGCATTAAAATTAGGTGGCAGGGAAGCAAGAAACTGGATGTGAGCTTCACAGGTGAGAAGTACAAGAAAAGACACAATTGGAACATAACTTCTAGCCATTTCAAGAATAAAAAAAATGAGACCCAGTTGCCAATCAAGTAGTATGCTTAAATTCATGCAGTTGAGATACCAAAGAAGAGATCTCATTAAAGCAATTGCC